CTGGTGCAAAAGTTACCTAGATATGCTTGCTTTAGAAAGTGCTGGAAGGAAGTTTATGGAGTGTAACACCTGATGGCAGGGGCTCCATAGGGGTACATTCGTGGGATACCACATCTCATCTCTTCTAAGGCAAACTCTTCACCCAGAGTGGAAAGCATGAAAAGGCAAACAACCCCCCCCCCACCCCATGTGTCACGGGTATAGGAGGAATAAGAATATGGACATCAAAGGATCTGCACACAAGTGGTATGAGAGACAATATGTGTAGCATGGTTGAGGCACATTCAGACCATACCTAGTGCTCACCTAAACTCTACTGGCAGACTTACTGAACTGCAGGAGAAGGGCACAGGAATCATTAGTGTGTGTTAGTCAATTTTACCATCAGACTCTTGAACCAACATCAATTGCAAGAGGAGTGCACAGAATACATTCTATTGTTGCATCTTGCAATAACTCAACCGTCAGACTCTTGGACTGACACCAGCTATGGGATGAGGGCAAAACAAGTTAGTGCATGTGCAGCAGATGATTGCAGGCAGTCGATGGGTCAACTCCAGTCCAAAACCAGGTGGCAACGAGTATGTCTTCTGATCAGTGGTAAAAGGAGAATCCCAACTATCTTCACCTCATGACCAGGAAGCAGAAAGGAAAAGTAACTTCCGTTCCAACAACTCAGGCAGGGCATGTGTGCAAACCCAGTACACAACCAACACCAGGCCACCCAGGAACACGACAATCAGGCAATGGTAGGAAGGGGGAATGCAAACATGGTGGGTCATCTCCAGTCTGAAACCAGGTGGCGGTGAGAATTTTTCATTCAGTCCACGGTAGGAGAAAGATCCCTACCAACTACATGTGTGAGAATTTGTGTGGGGTGCTCCTATGCAAATCTAACACCAATCCACCCAGAAACTGACATCTGAATGGCAGTAGGTTGGGAGACACTGGCATGTTATGAGTACAAGTATATGAGGGGTGACCTGTGCTACACAGACAGTGTCCCTACCTCTTCATATCCCACTGAATTGGCACCTTTTCTTCAGCCTCAGCTATTCTGTCTCAACTAGTGAGTGTTTTCCACATTCCACCAGTCCAGATAGGAACTAGTAAGTGGTAAGGGTCTACATTGCTCCACTCAAAGAAATGGGAGTGAAGGAACTTGCAATGGGTAGACCTGGAGAAATGTCCGGATCTCATCAGTCACTTGCCAGATAGGTCTTTTACTAGAGCAGTGCAATGGGTAACTACATAAACTTATTCTGAAAAGCCAGCAAGCAAAAGATGGGGAAGCAGGCAGAGCACCTCCTGGTGCTGTTTTTTTCCCATAATAATCCATGGAATAGGTACAGTCTTGATTAGACAGTAGACAAATATCATAATATACCATGAGGATACCTCTAGTGGTCTTGCGAAACACTCCATCTCAACAGTAGGCATATACATTATCCTGGCAAGATACATAATTTTGGGAATAACTGTACCCTGGGGGTCACCACCAGCCACTTGGTGGGATCCTGATAGCAAATGCTATAAATAATGTGGAATGTACTCACCCTTCAAAGATGGTAGGTTTATTGTAGGATGGTGAACAGAGGCAGGCAGTGACCCCTGGGAGACTACACAGCCAGATGGCGAAGAAAGTGGTTGAAGAAGTTATGCATGGTAGTCCACTTGCATGCTGGAATGATCTTGTCCAGTGGCAGACAAAAATGAGCAGGTAATGAATGAGAGAGGAGACGAATCTGATGAAATGAAATACAGACCATCTGTGAACAACAACCACAAAAGAGAATGAGACCGAGCTAAGAATGTAGTGGACCATACCAATAAAGGCAGAAGAAGATTTGCTGTAGGAAGAAAAAGATGGGCACTCTAGGGAATGTAGAGTGGAAAATAGAAACCCCAAAAGTTAGATGTATGAGGGAAGTAGCAATGAGCAGCATGAACCAGGCACAAAAACTGTCCAGATCTCAACGAGCATAGAAAAGTGTAATAGAAGGATGGCAGAGAGGTCTCCCCAATGATTGGCTGAAGACCAAAAGAAGAAATAAGTATGAAGGAAAGGGTACAGGATGAGTTGCAAGCATAAAGATGTGAATAATGTTGACCATAAGTGAGAAGAATGAGGAATGTAACCAAAGAGAATGAGGTAGAAGTTGCAGGTTGCTAATGATGGGAATGGGCACATGAAAGAGTGCAAAGGATGACACTGAGGTCCTGTTCGAGTACAGGAGCAGAGGAATAGAGTCAATGGATAAGAAAAAAGGTGGAGAAAACAGAGGAAGAAACACCTTCCAGTAATGAGCCAGCAAATAGGGATGGACAAGACTACCTGATAACAGGCAAAGCAGAGACAGCTGAACTCTGTAGAACTGCCTGGAAAAGGGAAGTGGGATGTCTTAAAGTTGAACTATTAGGAGGAAGTGGTGACTGGTGGACCCATATAAAGAGCCACATGGAAGGACCATGTAGAAAAATGCTAGGAAGGGAAAGAATTACCTGATGGGAAAGTCAGGTTCAAAAGCAATGGACTGGATGAAACTTGCATGAAGGTGGAAGAACAAGATCTTGTGATAGAAAAAAAACATGAGATGTTGAAGCAATAGATTGTATAATTTGTACAATTTCAATACCATAGAATTCCACTATAATTTATCAAGTTTAGTAACTAAGCTGTATTTGGGTCTAGCGAGATATGAAACTTAGAGCTCACTAAAGGCTAACCTTACCATTTGAAATCTGCCATGAAAAGGAAGGGTTTTCCACGTAAATACTTTGCAAAGGCTCAGAGAATCACACAGGGTACATTCTGAACTTTAGATTGGTTATTTACATGTCATAGACAGAAGTAGGTGTACCTAAAGCAAGTCTTTTCAACAATGGACAGAGGTGGGTGGGGCCACGTACATGTAGCGATATCTCAGCAAATAGAAAAGATAGGAGGTTCTTATTTTATTCTAGTTTGCCAATATTGGTAGTTTGAGCTCCTAATTCATAAGAAACTATAGACTTTGTATTTGAACATCACAAACATCTAATTTGAACCAATGCTGCATTCAACATATCATGTGATACACAAATATTGATATTTATTAGGTGTTTTTTTTAATATTTTCTTTTAAATTAACTAATGTATAATACTAAAATTTGAATTATAATGTACAATTTGATACCACACTTACTGACATAGATTCATAAAATAGTAGTAGAATAAAATTTTGAATGCAAGACAACAAACACGATGAAATGGCCTTTAACCTGTGATGATAGGGTTAAGTTGAAGGGCGACCTTCCTGACTTTAATCAACCTTTTGCTCAATACTACTTGTAATAAATAACCAAAAAGTAAAAGCCAGGAATATTTACATCAAAATGTTGGGTGTGTCTGCTTTCACCTACAAAACTACAGAAAGATAATATTCTCTGTTTCCTAAGAAAAACACATTACTTGTAAATAACTGGAACAAATGTTTTATTTGAATAAGACGATAACAACCAGGGCAACATAAGTAATATGACATATGGAGAAGTAAGGACTTGAAATTGTAAATTAATAGCACAGTAACAGCATGGAAAATGTTAATCAAGATTTGAAACTTAGCTCTAGTATCCAGAACTGAGCTTATTTAGGAGTAATATTTAAATGATCATGTGTAAGGAGTTTCAAAAGTCAAACCTTCAATATTTTATGAAGCTAATGAGCTTCATTACTTTGAGTACCTTATCAAAGCTAGATAATTGCTAACCTTATGTGGCTCTCTTTTAAGTTGGCAGGCAGTTTTCTCAGGAATATAGTAACTGCTTACTGCAAAATAAAGAAGAGTCCCAAATTCCCCTAAGTGCATCAGAAACTGTGAGAATCTCTTGAAATGGATAAAATACAACCAATTCTAAGAAAAAAGGCATTTTTTTTAAGAATTGAAATTTGAATTTCCTGTATCTTTGCCGATACAACCTTGATTGGAATGACTAATGTTTCAGAAGACTTTGGGGCTTTCACTTTAATTCATATGTCAGGAGGAAAATCACAAAAACATCACTGGTCAAAGAAAGATGACAATACTGTACAGAAATTGTGGCTATACAATGCAATATTCAGTGTTTGAGCTCATTTAATTTTTCACAAAAGTCTGCAATTTGTGAGATCAAAATCTGAACAACAACAAAAAATCAAAAGGAAATAGAACCAGAGAAGGCAGCATTAAATGATATATCTTTTTCCAAGAAATAATTAATAACAGTTATTGTGAAATTGTTTTAGTCATGTCTTCTGAACAGTACTAGTATTTCTCTATGAAAAAAAGAACATTATAACTTCCCATAACTTTGTAAAGGAAATGCACAGAGAATAGTCTTTCCATCTAAATGTTTTTATGTTTTATCCTAATATTAAATGTAATTAATTTCTTAATGGATAACAAAAAAAAGAGCTAATACATGCACACTGTAAACAATTATTGAGTGAAAGGCTAATTAAAAGTCAGGAAGTCATTCATCAACCAAATTTTGACTTCTGTAGAACTTATGACCCCATCATCCTATCAGGACTTTACATACTGACTTTATTGTAAATAAGAGGTAATATATTAGGTGTTACCTATTAGGTGATTTTTCAGGGAATGACCTATACTATTAAATCTTTACTGCAAGATATTCCTGAAATACACGAATAATCACACGTGTACTCACAGTGATGTTCAGTTGAATCATATATATATATATATAGTATATTTCTTATACATAATCAGTTCTGACACATAGTGTATGCTTGAGAGAACTTACTAGTAATATAACCATGTAAATAAAACCTAAAACTGACATTTCAAAGAGTATTTACTTGTCCTGATGCGACTATGCATTATGAATCAATTTTCACAACAACTTCTAAAACACCTATTTTAAGTATATTATTTTTTAGTTAATAAGAAGTTAATAGTTACTTGCGATAAAAGCTTAAGACATTTTGCTGCATACTTATGGTCAATATAAACTCTTACCGTTCTTTGGAGGCAGTGTATCATCTACAATGTGCTGTTTTGAGGTACTTCTTAAGTTGCGGTAAACTTCTGATACAAACGTCATTTTTCCAGCTCGAAGATGTCCTGTCTTGCAAAGGTAGTGATAAAAAGACATTACTCTGTCAGAAGGAATTTGAGGATTCTTTAAGTATGAGCTAACTACTTTATCTTTTAAAACATCTAAATATCCTTTGTAACTTTCAAAGTTTTTTATCACAGCTTCACAACTAGACTGTGATTTCAGTCCAAGACTTGCCAAAAAAGAAGTTTTCTCTGTATCATCATTCACGTATGATGATGCTGTTGATTTCTTCTGCAAGTGACTTTGTAATGAATCAAGACCAAAGACATTACAATCCAATCTTTCTTCATGACTAATATCACGTTTGAGCAAATTATCATCTATAATTAAAAGATCTTTACAACTGGAATGTGATTCCTCATCATTCAGATCATTATTTGATCTCGACCCAACTTCAGTACAGTTAACTGAGTCAGACTGCAATTCATTACTTTCAGGAACAAATACATTTTCATCATTACAAGATAAAGAAGAATGGATATTCTGATTTTTCTGTTGAACATTTAAATTAAAATAAGTTGAAGCATCTTCATATGACATCTTCTCCATAACTTCAGAAATGTCTACAAAAGATGGATCACACAAAGCATCTGCAGTCTGCATAAATTCTCCATTTAAAGAATTCTTATAAACATCATTAGGTACAAAAAAATATTTTTCAGAACTATTACAAATCTTTTCACTTATTTCATTTTCAATTTTACAAGTTTTAGGTGTAATATATAAATGCCCAGTGTTAGCAGCATTATCTAAAAGTTCTGGTTTACTTTTAATGTCACTGAATGGTATCTTTACAAATTCCACCTCACAATCCACAAAATCCTCAGAAACACTACATGTATTAAGTACATCATCATACACCTCACTACATTCTCTTCTATTTTCCTCTGACACAGTATTATTAATTTCAGTGAAGTGTACAGGTACCGAATCAGTTACAGACTTTTTTAACGCATGTGACTTTACTACATTCAGCTCTAGTTCTTTTTTATGATTGTGCTCTTTTTCCACATCACACAATTTTGTCAGTAATTCCATACCTGAAGAATCAAAAGTACCTTCTACAACTTGTTCTTTATCATTTTGGTCTACGTTAGCTATATTTCCATGCAAAAATTCTGTGGTATTTTTGGGCAAGTTATATAAAAATAAATCGTCAAATGAAGAACAATCTGAAATTGTTTTTGAATCTTTTGGGGTATTTAGTCTGGATGTGCAATTAAGTGTCTGATGAGAAAGTTTATTATCAAAATTATTAATACTCCACAGATCTACTGCTTTTTTAGTTATTTCATCCAAAGACACTCTACACAATACATTATCCCCAAAAACTTCAGAATAGTTTACAAGACTCTCAAAGTCTAAAGTTTTACAGTCTGGAACGGATTTGTTTTCTTGAGACATTTCTATAGTTTTATCAATTCCATAACCTTTTCCAGAAAAATAATGATTTTTGGAAGAGAAACTGGATGTACAATTCTTATTTTTTGAGGGTACACCAACTAAAGACACACACTCTGTTATTTTGTTTTTATCATCATCAACATGTTTTGTATAATCATTATAAGCTTGATTTAACAGGTATTCTTCATCCTCAACTTCTTTTTTAATCCTTACTGAACATCCTTCTTCAGTGTTAGGATGTTTATCCGGAATACATTTCTCACCTTCCTTTTCTTGCTTAACTATTATATTATTATTATCCTCAAAGTGTTGAACTAGATGTTTATCATAATATTCCATTTGTTCTTTTTCTATGGTGTGGATTTCTACTGGAAATTGTTGCTTTTCTCTGTCATGGTTAGAAGAATTGTTGTCAAATTGGATATTACTAAAACGGTCTGTTTCAGCATTCATTTCTGACAATGCAGTTTTTGAAGGAGCTTCTTTCTTATAATCCATGATTTGATTAATAGAATGTAAATGTTTATTGGAAAATGACTGTTTCTTCTGAACTTCCTTTGCATATTCTTGGAAGTCATTTCTAACAAAATAACCTGAAACAGTTTTTGCCTTTTTTCTGACTGGATGTTTTTCATCACATTCAATTTGTTCTTTTTTCACAGTGTGAATTTCTTCTGTTGGAAATTGTTGTTTATCGGTTTCATGGTTGGAAAAGCTGTTGTCAAATTGTATAGTAGTAAAAGTGTGTGCTTCAGCATCCATTTCTTTTGAAGGAGCTTCATTCTCAAAACTTAAGCTCTCACTACAGACTACTGAAACATATTCAGGTTTTATGGAACTAGACTGGAAAGATTCCAAATGATTATCAGAAGATTTTTCCTTCTGAATTTCTTTTGTGTTTTCTTGGAAGGCACTTGTATCAGAATAACTTGGAATAGTTTTTACCTTTTTTCCACTTTCACGTTCCAACTGTAAATTAAATTTATCATGCCTCTGACATGTACTACCTGGAAACAAATCTCTAACACATACTTTTTCTAACAAAGAATTGTTCCTCTTTAAACATGCATTATTAGTCTTTCTATAAGATAAATTTGGAGCAGATTTACTTCCTATATGGCGTTGTGATAAACTGTCTAAAAGTTCTCTAACAGTTCTTCCTTTTGGTGGCCGCTGGATAGTGTCTATTAGAAGTGGTTTAGGTTTTATTGGTACAAATAACCCAAATGTAGTATTTCCATTTAATGGTTTCCTTTGTGAAGTCTGAATTACTGAAGATTTTTTTACAATGTTACTTTGAGTGGATGTAAAACCAACACTGTTTTTTGATCTTAAGTCAACATTAGATATGCTTAGATTGTTATTTTCAGAGTCAACTGATAAGCTAACATTTGAAGTAGGTACACTAAAAATTCTCTGATATTTTGTTCCTACTACCTGGCTAGATACAGACAAAGAACTAATAACCTGGGGCTGTGTCCTTACAGGTGTTGTACAATTCAAAGAACTTTGGGTCACAGGGAGGCCTTCAGACACGACAGTGGACAAGCTTGGTAAGAGACTTTTATCGGGAAATGTTTCACATGAAGTATTGGGTCTAGTACAGTTTTGTAGTTTTCCAGTCAAATATCCACCTCTGCCCTTCACACTTAAACTTTGATATGGACTACAAAGTTGTTTGTTTTGTAATATTTCTAATCCAGGCATCTCAAAATGATTGGTGGAACAAGATTTTTTAACTTTATTCAAAAAAACCACCTTGCTTCCTTCTGCTGATACAGAATGCACTGGTGAATGTTCTGAGGTACATCCTACTTTATTTGTTTCTTTCACTTCATTAAAAGAAATGCTACTCATAATCCTTGTATTATTTAAGGGCTCTACATTAAGGTTTACCTTTTTTACAATAACCGTTTTAGGAAAAATAGGCCTCAACCGTGACAGAGCAACAGAACCTAAAAAAAATAAAAACACAAAACATAAATTCAGTAAATGCAATAACCAAATGTTCCATTAAAATGTTGAAAACCACATATCTTCAGACAGTAGTATTACACTAATTATTAAACATGGTCATACAGATTTTGACAGTACAATACAATTTTATTCTTTTTTAAAAAAAAGATAGTGACTTTAATTAAAAAAACAGGACATTTTGGAATTTACATGTTCCATCATTAGCAATCTAAAATGCTTTCATAGAACATATGTATATAATATATATATTAACATATTTAAGCAAGCTACAAAAATATTTTTAAACAGGTTACATCAAAAGAAAGGACAGCATGAATTTCACACAGAATATCTAAACCTTGGATGAAATATTACAAGTAAAGAAAAACTTTCCAAAAAAGGAAGTAAATGTAGGGATGGCTAATATTAATCTTTCAAAAAAAATGCAAAAAAGATAGTAGGGATGGCATTTGCATCATCCCTACATAATAGCACAGCAACAATGTAGTAGAATGTTAACAGACAAAAATATGATGAAATTAAGCTCAATTGTAATTGAATAGTTACATATATTGCTATATGTTAATTTTTGCCTATGCTATCATGTAGGGGTAATGCAAATGCCATATCTATTATCTTGTTTGCATTCTCTTTGAAGGATTGATATTAGCCATCACTACATTTACTTCCTTTTCTGAAAAGTTTTTTCTTTACTTGTGTTTTTTTTTTCATCTAGTGTTTAAATAAATATATATATATATAGGAAGGTTGTATTTACAACCAAGTTCTAAATAAAATGAGGTTCCCACTATAATATTTATTGTTTATCTATTATTTGCTGGTAATTCCTCTTTCACCCTGTACTTAAGCTTTTTAAATGAACACCCAATTTCTGTAAGAAACCTAACATCAAGGTACAATGATAACATCGTTTAAACTAAAATTATGATTTTTTTTTAACTACTAGTAGTAATTAATAATACTTATAAAAACAGATACTCTGTTTGAAACTATGTGACCTCAGTGAAACTGGTTGACACCTTTACTTTAGTTTTTGAGTTATTTATATAAATATAAAAGTACTGTCTGTTGTATATCCATGTAACTACTTTGCTGAGTGTGGATGTATCTTCACCCAAATTGGTATGGAGGTTCATTAGGTCCATGCAGGGGGGTACGTAAAAATTTTCAGTTTTGCATTTTGTAGTTTTTATGGGTGTTTTTGTATTTTTTACCACTACTTCCCCTCCTGTTGATGGACCTTCACCAAATGAATGTTTGTTGGGTCCATGCAGATGCAAATTTGCAGTTTCATGTTTTTCAGTTGTTATGGGTGTTTTTTACAATTACATATAAGGGAAGCAACTTTTCACTTCCAAAGATAGCCTTTCATTAATCATGAATTTACATAACTTCCGTCCAGGGGACAGGTACTCCAACTAATCATGTAATAATAAAAAAGAAGAACAAGAAATTCAACTTTTTGCTATGATATTTATAGACATTCTCAGAACTTGTGACTCAGTCATTACACAGATATTGTTATAAAAGGAAACACTGTGTAGTATTGTAAAGTTCTGATGACCTAGTGAGAAGATATTTAAAATACCATTTTGATGTACATTCTAAGCCATCCCTACATAGGCAGTGCTACCATCTGCCTGATTAAACTGAATTTTGTAGAGAAGGAAAAAAATAAAATAAACAAAAAATACAAACATAGCCACAAAACAAATATCCAACACTGGGACACAAATCATAAGGTATGTAATTATGTAATGTCTCCTGGGTTTTTTAATTACTGGCACAAGTAAGACCCAAATATGCTGGCCTCATATGTTCAAAATAAAAGAAGAGAAAAGAAGCAGATGTGGGTGACAAAGCCCACAAGAAAGTAAGAAAGATAATAATTACAGTACAACAAATCAATGGGGGAGACAGCACAACTGTCCTTGAAGTTGGCATTAACTTTCAATATGATGTTTGGACATAAATACCAAGATGTTAAAAATTACAAACAATGTGCATATCAATGTGAATTTTTCCAATAACATAAACTGAGTTCAGTCTTTTTTCTGAGCATTTATATCTTCATTATACACTAAAATCTTTACTCCTATTAAAGATAATTAGAATAATTTTAACTATATTAATGGGAAACATTTTAAGATAAATACAATTCCTCTATAAAAGATTATCTGGAATATATATATGTAAATAATAATATTGTTTCATGAAAGAACAGGCCTAAATCCAATTACTTAAAGCAGGTTAAGCATTGATTTAATAACATCTTATGGTTTTGTATCAGAATCAAAACTAAGAAATGATATTTTGTAAGGAGAATTTTCAAATAAGGATTTAACAGATATGAATAAATAAAAATGTCAGTTAACACATCTTTCAGCTACAGTACCAATGGGAAGTAAGCTAACATGGCAAATCAAATCATTTGCTCTTTGTACCTTTTTGAGTGCATTAAAAGTTGCAATATGAATGTAAACCTTGGAGAATCTTGAACAACAGGATTAATAACTCCTCAAATGATTTGGTGTCATAGTTGTATCATAGAAATTAGTGACATTAAATTTAGACGTAACTTCAAAACACATTATTTCCCAGGTTTTATATTTTTTGAGATAAAACAATTTAAAATCTTGCTTCAGCAGGAATATATGCTATAGCTTTAAAAAGTAAAGTTAATAACATGTGAATTTTATTAATGTAAAGTCATGTCAATGCTTTTTAGATTGTTTCAGTAGCTTTGTGTTTTAAAAGTTCCATTCGTATTATGTAAATGTTCACTGAAAATATGAATTGCCTTTAAAATATGGCACAAAACTTAAAAGTGTGAAATGAAAAAATAAAGATCAATACAACATTTTTATTAAAGGGACTTGAGGAAGACAAAAAATGCGTTAATTAACAAGTTACTTGAAATATTCAATTAACATTTTCTGAAAATATATATACTATGGTTGTTTATTAGAAATGATAAATAGCTATTGTTTTTAATCTTATTCAGATTACACTTAGAACACTTAAAAACCCATAAAAACAGCATTTTAAAGACTGATAGGCAAAGAAAATTGAAAATTTAGGGAATTGGAAGATAAAAAGTTTTCTTTTTGAACACATAAAAAAAACTGAAATGTTTACTAGTAGAAAGTATTAAATTCCATATATTAAAAAATGTTTAAACTATACATAAGAATCTCCTGTTTTTAATCAAACCATCAACGTATTTCCTTCTCAACATGTGTAAAAGTGTTTAAATGAAGTATAGGTTTTTGAATGGCAGCAAATTATTTAAGAGTAAAAGCCTTATATGGTTCATTGCCAAATAACTTACTACTACTTCTGAATTTTGCTTACACAAAATATTTATTACGAAAATGAAAAGTTTTCAAAACAAAATACACATTTATTGTCAACAGTACTTCTTATTTTACAAAAACAAATTTTAAGGAAGCCTCTCTGAAAAACATTTACACTTCTAGTATTTCAACATAACAACGTATCAAATAAAGTTAGGCATTGCAAGCCAAGTGCCATCCTCTAGTCAGCAGTTCACCACCACCAAGATTAGTGACAGTGGCAGATGGCCAAAAAATCTTTGTAGTAAAAAAGAAGGGGTAAGCAGGTTTGATGGTAATATTAAAATTAGTTGGATAGTTGAATAAATTGAAAATAGTAATAATCAGAAACCCTAATTTTGATTAGTTGATTATTTTCATGACATTCAATGGAATTTGGATTAATCAATTGTTGGAATAATCAGAAATACTAATTTCAATTAGTTGGATAGTTGAATAAATTGAAAATAGTAATAATCAGAAACCCTAATTTTGATTAGTTGATTATTTTCATAACATTCAATGGAATTTGGATTAATCAATTGTTGGAATAATCAGAGTAATAATCAGAAATACTAATTTCAATTAGTTGATTCAATCTTCACTTTGATTAACTGATTAGTTTCCATGACACTAATCGATATAATTACTGCTCATAAGTACTTGTTTATATTGATTAAATCACCCAGCTATAATATTAAATACTGGATATGAGAACATTTTTATTTATTTTTATGAGTTTAAGCTACAAAAAATAACTAAATACATAGTAATGCATTGTCTACTTTACAACAAATCAACTTATGAAAAATAGATCACATTCAGAAATTCACTTGGCTGCTTTGTTTTCAATTATCATCATTTTATTAAAGATATAATTATGTAAACCACACTTTGTAATTGCCCGAAGTTTATTGATATCATACTGCATATATATACATAGATTAACCAATGTTGTACATAAATTTTGAAGTGTCCATTCTTAATTTGCATACACTGTAGTCTATTTATCAATTCTTAAATAAACCATTTGCAGTGTTTTCATTGGTATTCACAATGCTCACAAACAATACAATGTTAATTACTACTGACAGTGTGTCATTGGTTACTTATACTTAGTCGTACGTTACTATTAATTTTGTTCAATGTTTCAAAAATTCTGTGTATGCTTACCTTTCTGTTTAGCATGAATACAAACGTCATGTGATGCCATGGAAGTGAGCACACAAAAAGGCCATGTATTCTACAAATAGAGGCACCAGAGCTAAAAGCACCAAAACAATGAAGCAAAATTAATTCAACTTACGTAGTTGAACATATTACAGCAAATAAGAGAAAAGAAATTGCAGTCAAAACAATTACCTTAAAATGTTCATAAAAATAATTTCCATTTTGCAGTTTTCACTGTGTAAATGAATGTCAAGTTTTTTTCAATAAAACTTCATATTTTATCTACCCTAACACTTTTAGAGCTTGGTCAATTGGACTGACCTTGTAATTACTACAATAAATTATGAAATAAAACTAACATGCTCTTTTTTTTTTTAGAATGACAGCAGACTGTAACAGAAAATTACAATTATTTATCTTAAACAGCCTCAGGCTCATAACTGTTTACATACTTTCATTTAATTTTATTCTTTTATTGCTCTTTGAACATTTCTAGCTAAATGGGAAGAGCAAAAAATTACCCAGCAAAAGTGCAAAGTTTAGGGTAAAAAAAATTTCAGGTTACATCATGAGATGTCTAACTATGTATGTTCCTCACGGGTTCCTCAAGGTGAGAAACTTTTAAATTTTTTCTTCATTTAACTGTTTTTTTTATTTAACATAGTAAATTTTTAATATTTACATTTTAGTTACATTTGTAAAAAAATATATATCAATAAATAAAAATTATATCAGGATTGAGGCTCTTTTGCTCTCAGAAGTTTAAATTTTCCTCATGAAGTTGGTTGTTCAAAAAATAATTTAGGTAGCTTTCCAATATGCATTTTTTAACATAGAGAAATAATTCAAAAAGTTAAAAAGAATGCCCTCAAACTACAATAATTTATCTATCTTTTTAGCTGACCCATGAAAAGATATAAATATTTTCCTAATCTAAAAATGTATTTCCAATAGATACCTCCATATACACAAATGTTATTTCTCTCATGAGAGTTGCATGCCACTTGCATTGAGCAAACTCCCACCTAAATTAATGTGTTTAACGCAAACTGCACTGGTGCACGATGACATCATTATGTGACAATAGCCCTCTACCAATAGGAAGGCAACAAAACCTCCATGTGCAGTAACTCCCACTATGCACTTGCACTCATGGTAATTTCATTCTTTGATGAGGCAAAATAAAATATAAGGAGGATGGGTGGGAATGTGTGCAGAGGTATCTCTCCGAAATACATTTCTAAGATGATAACTCACCTCCACATACAGAAATGCTAGAATTCCATATTGAAGTGGTGGAGGAGCTGGTATAAAAATTAAACTTAGATGAGTGCCCCAAAGGAAAAGCCTGTGGAGTACAACACCCAATAGCAGGAGCTTCATAAGGGCACACCTGTGGAATATCATGTCTAATCTTGACCAGGATTTACTCTTCACCCAAGTAGAAAGGGAGGAAAATGTGAAAGAGCCTCAAATGTTGCAGGGAGAATTAGAATGTGGTCAGTGAGCCAATGTGTAATGTGGTTATGGTGCGATCAGATTCTTTTGGACAAACTCTGGTTGCAGGAGGAGAGCACACTAGCTGTGTGAAAGGTGACATGTATTACACTGACAGTGTCACCACTGCCTTACTTCTCATTATATTGTGCTAAGGCCAACTGGTGAGAATTCTTCATGGTACACCACGAAAAAGCTAGGAACTGGTATGTGGCAAAGGTCTTCTTTGCTCCACTAGAACAAGATCGTTTACTGAAGACAGTGTAATAGGGACCATGAAACCCTGTTTTTAAAGGAAGGAAAGTGCAACCAAAGAAGTGGACAGTTACTTTCCTGATGCTGACTTCTTCCACAATAGTCCATGGAATTGGTATGGTATGGATTGGACAATTAATTAAATTTGTATACTATGAAGATACCTCAAGTGATCTTATGGAACAGCCCCACCTTAAAATGGGTACTGATAGAACCAGAGAGGGTTGAACATTTTCTGTTATCCTGGCTCGAAGGGTATTTTGGAAAATAAGCATGCCCTGGGAGGCAGCACCAGTTATCTAGTAAGATCCTGTTTGATGAAAAAAGAAGAGAATATGAAAGGGAAACATACTTACACATTTCAAAGACTGTGGGTTGACTGAAGTATGGTGATCATGGAAGCCAAAATCCTGTAGGAGATTAAACAGCCATATGGTGAAAAGAATGAGCGCAAATGTATGGGGAGTCATCTACATGCTTGTCTGGAGGATTTTGTCTGACAGCCAGAGAAAATGGAAAACAAGAAAGGTGACAAATCGGATGCAACAAAGTGTAAAATAGCCTGCAAGCATCTACACTCAGGGAAGAATATATAAACTAGGGAAGTTTGAGGACACATTTAATAAGGATAGAAGGGGAGAGGTCCTAGGGTAGGAACAGACAACTGTGGGGAAACCAAAAATATGTCTGTGATACGTAACAATGAACAGCCCAAACAGGACACAAGAGTCAATTTGGGTCTGAACAATCACAGAGGTCAGAGACAGAAGGAAGGGAAATAAGAAAGAAGGTATGATTACCTTCCCAAGCAGCACAAGTTTGAAGAGAGAGAAAGATCAGTCCAGGTGGAGGAGTACATAAGTACAGTGGAAGAAGGTGCAAGAATCATTAATAGCATAGACTTTTGAATGAAGGAGACAATAAGAAAGAAGAAAAAAAGACATGAGAGAAAGGTGGTACAAAGAACAAGAAACCAACAGCTTAAAAGGGGGCACTTCTAAGAGAATGCAAAACCACATTAAGAACCCAGTCAGACATGAGAGTTGGGTGAGGAAGTTGAGTAGAGTGAAGAGAACAGGGGAAGGAAATATCCAGTAGAACTGGGAAAAGAGAACTATAATGGACAATGCTACACAATAGCCAACATGGTGTAGACTGACAAACCTTGGTCAAACAGCCAATTAAAAAAGGTAAAAAGGTGGTTCACAGTAGGACAAATCCCACATGAAGATGAAGTGTCAACATCCCTGGACAAAAACTGGACATGTGAGGTTGAAGCAAGAGCAAGTGGACATTAGGCATAGGAAGGAGGGGTATAGATATCAAGTGAAGAAGCAGAGAAAACCAAGGCAGAGTGAGCCAGAGAGGTGCCACAGTAGGATTCCAGAAGGAGCGTCACATATCAAAGCAAAAACCTGAGAAAAGAGTCAAAGAGTATAGATTTTAGAAAAAGGTGAGATCAGTCCTAACTGAGAGTTTCGACTGCCAGAGCCAAAGAATGAAGACCAGGGGACCAGAAGAGAGGAAGCTCAGAGTCAAGAGGAGTGGCAGAGATTTCTATGAGAGGCATGCCTAACTGAGAACAAGCCCCAAAATCCAATGAAAGACCTGAAAGTGGAGAAAACACTCTGTGGTTGAATGAAGACTGGCTGTAACAGGCAGTTTGCTACAAGGTTCATAGCTCCTGGTACAAACCAGGCAACAGGACAAACCCAATGTAAATGAGCCCAGAAGAGAAGGTCCAATGCCCAAAAGCAAAGGGTCCAGGAACAGGTTCCCCTTGACAGATGATATAAAAAAAACAAGAGTGGAAATGTTGGAGTAAATTGTAACCAATTCATCCACCAGAGAGAGCAGAAAATTGGAATATGCTTGACAAACAGCATGAAGTTTGAGCACACTGATGTGGAGTGAATGCTCATCCTGCATCCAAACACTGGAAGTCATGCCATCATCCAGAGATGTGCCTCAACCAAAAAGGGAAACATTGGTGAAGAAATAGATTCAGTTTAACATTTGGTGAGGAAATGCCAGAAGTAGTATTTGCATGGCCCGACTAACACGAAAATTTCAAACAAGAACAATGGAACCTGAAAAAGAATCTATTCATTCTGCAAGGTCCACTGGAAGAGGATCAGGTGTGCATGTCCCAACGGAAAGAGGTGTTCCAGGAAAGCCAGAGTCTCCAGAAGTGAAAGAACCCTTCATGCAACAGGAAAGTGAGAAGTACAAATCCAGGTGATCAGATACTCCATAACTCATAGGTAAAGAGAAGGCTGAGCTCAGCCAATACGAGATATAAAAAAAATGACCAGATGTACCAAATATTGAGTGGGCCTTGATAAGCCACCTCAAAGGAGTAGCCTCCTGCAAAAGAAGGGAGGTGTGAGAAGAAAATACCTCCCAAGAATGGGCCAATAAAAGATAATCATCCAAGAAAATGAATGACAGACCCAGGCTGTAAATTTGGCAAACAAAGAATATTGTGATATAAATGAATACATAAGGGCTAATGCTATGTTGAAGGGAAGAGCAAGGAATTGGAAGGCATGAATCTGAAGGATAGAATATAGAAAATGTTTGGAGGACAGGGCAATAAAGATGTATAGAAGAATATTCAGCACATCAACCATGTTTAACTGTAGACTGGGTGAAAAAGACAATAGACATGGTCAGATGGAGGAGAAAGGAAAATGGGAAGAGGAACAAACTGATGCAGAAAGAGAGAGACCATGGGAGAAAACATGAAAAACATCTGTTGGCAGAGACTGAGATCAATGGCTGGCAAAGAAAAAGAGATGGGTACCCAAAGGGCCTATCATGAGAGGATAGCCACTGATTGTTTTGAATTTCGCATAAAGCTACACAAGGGCTGTCTGTGTTATCGATCCCTAATTTACCAGTGATAGACTAGAGGGAAGGCAGTTAGTCAACACCACCCACTGCCCACTCTTGGCCAACTCATTTACCAACAAATAGTGGGATTGACCATCACATATAAGACCCCCACAGCTGAAAAGGCATGCATAATGGGGATTTGAAACTGCAACCCTCAGCTTGTGAAGCAAGCACCTTAACCACCAGGCCAGATAGCCACTGACAAAAAGAGCAAAGAACCAGACATCGGGTAGTGGGAAGACCAAAAACAAACAAACAAGGAAGGTGTGGAACATGGAGTGGGAAGGATGGGGGTAGACTGATCCATACAAGGACAGGAATCAAAGGGCAAGGTCAAGAAAGAAGAATACCTGGGATGATAATGAGGACTAATGTTATGCAACCTTATTCCAGGTCTCCAGTGAGAAATGAACACTGCTAAAGACTTTTTGGTGAAGAAAGGGA